ACCCTAAACCCTAAACCCTAAACCCTAAACCCTAAACCCTAAACCCTGTGGGTTTTTGTGGAGGAACATGAAGAATGAAGAAACGGTGCCATCGACTGAATGGCCATTTCTACTCTTGGTTTGAGTTCCTGAGCAAGACCCGTTCGCATCTCTCGTTTGGGTCTCAAAACCCCTACGAAGATGCATTCCGAAGCCGCAGAAGCAAAGGTCAAGGTGTAGGGTTGAAGTTCTAGGGAAGCTACCTATCACTTGTCTTGGCGGGCTTCCTTTCCGGAACAAGCTGTAGCTTTAGCCCGGAATTAATTGACCCTGAAACCCAAGTCTGGGTTCAGAGCTTCGGCTTGTGGGACTTACGGTGAAAGATCCCAGGGTTTAGGGTTTGTGGGGGGTTGCAGGGACCGCTTTTGCAGAGGACGTGATTCTTTTTGCTTTGTTTGGGCGGGGGGGGGGGGGGGCTTGAGGCCAGGAGGTTCGAGGGTTGCGAGGCTGCCGGATTGAAGTTCATAGGGCTCGGGGACTCAGGTTAAGTGCCCTTGACTAAACCACTAAACCCTAAACCCCAAAACCCTAAACCCTAAACCCTTAGCCCTAATCCCTAAACCCTAAACCCCAAAACCCTAAACCCCTAAACCCTAAACTCTAAACCCTAAACCCTAAACGCTAAACCCTAAACCCTAAACCTTAAACCCCCAAACCCCCAAACCCACCCCAAAACCCTCGTGGGCCTTGCACCTCAGAGCCCCGGATTCCAGGACGACGCCAGCGACCGTGAGGAAGACGAGGAGCCCCGGAAGAAGTGGTTTCGGGTTTAGGGGGTTTAGGGGGTTTATAGGGTTCATAGGGTTTATAGGGTTCATAGGGAGTATAGGGTTTATAGGGTTTAGAGGGTTTAGAGTTTAGAGGGTTTATAGGGTTGAGGGTTTAGAGGGTTTAGAGGGTTCATAGGGATTATAGGGTTTATAGGGATAGAGGGTTCATAGGGATTATAGGGTTTATAGGGTATAGAGGGTTTAGAGGGTTTAGAGGGTTTAGAGGGTTTAGAGGGGTTATAGGGTTTAGAGGGTTTAGAGGGTTTAGAGGGTTTGTAGGGTTTATCGGGTTTATAGGGTTCATAGGGTTTAGAGGGTTGATAGGGTTTATAGGGTTTATAGGGTTGAGGGTTTAGGGTTTATATAGGGCTTAGGGCGTAGGCGTTTAGGCGTTTAGGCAGTTAACTCCGGTATGGGGTCAACCCTGAACTTACACCCGACATCCTCAAACCCCATACCCTGAACCCCTGAGTTTTGTGGGACTTCCCAAGAACCCAAACCTTAAACCCTAGCCCTAAACCCTAAACCCTAAACCCTGAACCCTGAACCCTGAACCCTGAACCCTGAACCCTGAACCCTAAAACCTCAACCTCAAAGCCAAATCCTGCAAGTCGTATCGAGCCAGATTTCTGGGAGGATGCGGAAGGGCATGGCGGGAGGGGAGCGTCTCTAGGGAGCTTTACAATTAGGGTTTAGGGTTTAGGGTTTAGGGTTTAGGGCTTCGGACCTTAGAGCTGTAGAGGGTTCAGGGTTTAGTACTTTCATTCTTCAGGACCTTATAAGCCTTAAGCAATTAGAAGTGGGGGCCTCGGAAGTATTGCCACTGGGAACCGTATCCCTTTGACTAAGAGGCTATAGGGGGATCTCTGTTGCTGTACGGGAGCTCGGCTCGCTTGGGGGTTTGTGGTGATTTTGGGTCCGGGCAGATTGGCAGGGTCGCACAGACCTGCAAGCAACATAAGAATCCACACAAGTCGTGAGTTTAGTGCGCCCGGCTTAGCCTTGCTGCTTCAGCGGGGTGCCCTCAGCCTTGCATCCAGATTGTGAGAAAGCAGTCTTGTCGCATTGCATCCTTTGCCCAGAAGCGTATTTGAACGAACCTTTCATGAATTGCTTCTTCGGCCAATCAGACCACAGCCCCTGAACCCTAAACCAAACCCTGTAACCTCAACCCAAAATCCCAAAACGGATACCAGGAAACACTGAATTGTAGACCCTGAACACCTCGCCCCAAAGCAGCCGCTTTCTTTGGGGGGTGCACCGCAGCAGGATCTGCTTGACTGACACAGCGCCTAACCGAGCGTTCCCCTGAGGCAGCTTGATATGGGGCCTATTGACAGATGGGTATTGCTCAAGTTTACCTGTGACTCCCAAATCCTACAAAATAGTAGGTTATAAGCCCCACGAAATGTAGGGCACACCCCCCAAAAAAGAAAGTAAATGGAGCCCCAGGTAGTGCATAGTCAGGCCTAGTAACTCGGAAACACCTGATTCGCACTCCCAAAGCTCACACCTAAAGAAACCTCGGAGTCCTAAACACGCCCCTATGAGCCTCCTAGGGTTTAGGGTTTCGGGTTTAGGGTTTAGGTTTTAGGGCAGTTTCCAGAATTCGCGTTTGTAAGCATGCTCTGCAAACCTCGAACCGACCGATAGGTCTCGAAATACAGTTCAGGGTTTTTGGAGGTTCATCTGCTTTATTGGCCCTCTCGAGGGTTCTCCACGATGGTCTCACGCTCCATGACTTCTAGGGTACGAACAGGCTCATACAGATGAGCTTCCATTTGGAGCATGTCATGAGCACTCCAGGTATACAAGCCATGAGAGGACTTCAGGGTTTGGTAGGGTTGGGGCCTCAACCCTCAAACCTTCCAAAAGCTCAAGCCACAGAACCCTAAACCCTAAGCCCTTTAAAAGCTAAACCCTAAACCCTAACCCCCTAAACCCCTAAACCCCTAAACCCCTAAACCCCTAAACCCCTAAACCCTAAACCAGCACAGGCAGTCACACCTGGGCGGTGGACGCTCTTTTCAAAAAGTCAGGGAGGAGGGATCTTTTGCTTCCCCCCTGGCGGTTTCGCACACCTGGGTCTCAAAGGCCTCCTCCCCCCTGGTAAAGGGGCACGTTCCCTTAAAGCAGTCCCAGAAACACGTAGAGTCATAGAGAGTTACATATGGGGGATTCCGAATTTTTGGGGGTTCCTATAAAAATGTATAAGGATTACACTATTTGGGGTATACCCCTATTTTTCGGAACCCCCCATATTCCTGAATCCCTGAGCAAATTTCCGACTCTGAGACCCAGGACCATGACATAGGGCCCAAAGAATTTCATGGCCCCCAGACGGCTTAAGGCCTGTGTCACCGCTTTTGACAACTTGTTGGCTGGGCAGGGAAAGTCGTTGAGGTTTAAGGTTTAGGGTTCAGAGTGTAGGGTTTCCTCGCAAGATTGAACCACTTCTTCGAAGGTGTTCTTCATGCAGCGTTTACAGACAAACTCTTGGGGCCATTTGGGTAGATCCCCTTGGGTTTAGGGGCTTCGGGGGCCGCGCAGTGTAGGACATGTAGATGGGTTTATGATTCAGTGTTTGGGGTATTGTTGTGTTGCCTTCAACCACGACGGCCAGATCTGAGGTGTTATGACTTCCTTGACTTGGGGAATGCCTTGACTTGGGAGTCTCAGTGGTGCCTTTGTACCTTTTGTGCGCATGCATGAAGTTCTGCCTGGAAAATGTCCACCTTTGTCATTCGGCAAGTGCCCTGCCCCAGCTCACGATTTCAATGGCCCGGTCGATCCGGTCTGATCTGCAAGAATGCACAGGGCCGGGTCCAGCAGAGCTTGCCACCCCTCAAGGTGCTTCAGCAGACGAAATATTGCATACAGGAGCCTAAGCAAGTACCAATAGTCTCCCATGTCCTCTTTTAATTCCGATATCAGTATACAGAAATAGTTCAGATCATATTCCGTTCGAGAAACGTCAAGCCTGCAATTCCAGTCTTGAGAAAGTTCACAAGGCACCGCACCTGCCAGAAGCAAAGGGCAGAGAAAGTTTCATGATGTTCCAGCGAAGCAAAAATGCTCGTTCCGGGTTTATGGTTACGGTTAATTAAGATTAAGGATGCTTGAAGCCGAACCTTGTTAGCACAGATTTTTGGGATACCCAACCCACCCCCCCCTGGCCACGCACATGGACCCTATAGGACAACCATATGACAATTCTGCGGTGCGGCCAGTTGCGAAACCGATACTCCATCACTTGTCTGGAGCTGGCAGAATCAGAACCTGAAAAACGCAAGCGAGACCCCTACCACCCACGTAACACACACCTTCTCCTCCAGCATCTCATGATGCCCTACCAACCTCCCTAAACCCCAAGCCCCGAACCCCAAAGGCCTTTGAACCCTTAATTACAACATAATCTCCAACTTATTCCGCAGCCAATCAAGGGATTTGCGTGAGGCCACCTCCGGCCAGCCGGCTGCGTTCAGCATAAGTTCTGCTGGTGCAGGTAGGGTTCAAGGTTTAGGCTTTTAGGGTTTAGGGTATATTGGCGCGTGGCTTAGAATGTACAGTCCCAGGATTAGGGTACCCTTTTTAGGGGGTTCCTACAATTAAGTGTCTACTCTTTCGGGGTGCTTCCGTGCTGTTTTTGCTTCTCAGAGATTCTCTCCTCGGCACCCGACGCCTTTGCCGCTACTTAAGCTGATCCTGCCAAGAACTGAGTCTACCTAGTTGGATCCCCGATGGTTGTACCTGTTTTCATGGTTTGTAAAGTCTTCAGAATACTCATGTAGGTGTCCCAAGGAAAGTAACTACAACTTGAGGGTCTAGGTAGGTCCTGAACTGCGATCACATGCACAGACTCGTGCCTGACAGATTGAATCGCTTGCAGCCGCTTGAATGTGTTCCATACTTCCAGCCTATACAGCTCCAAACTTACGATGCCAAATGAGATTTTCTGTGTCCACGTGTTGACGCAGAAAAGCCTCTGAATCCGAGATTCTGTAAGTTTGCTCCGCTGGATACCCTCAACCCTAAACCCTAAACCCCTAAACCCTAAACCCTAAACCCTAGACCCTAGACCCTAGACCCTAGACCCTAGACCCTAAACCCTAAACCCTAAACCCTAAACCCTAAACCCTAAACCCTAGCCCTAAACCCTGAACCCTAAACCCCTGCTCTTCGCATGGATCCATGGAGCTCTGGCATGCGGGTCCACGGGCCGAGCTTGCCGCCCCGCAACGAAGCTGGCGTGGGATTGCGGCCGCCAAAGCTTCGTACAGGCGCGCGACGTAGTTTGCTTCTTCCTGAACCCTAAACCCAAAACCCTAAACCCCAAACCCCAAACCCCAAACCCTAAACCCTAAACCCTAAACCCAGCACCCCCTTGGGCTGTCAACGTTATCCTCAAAGAGAACACCTTAGGGCTGGCGCGGGGCGTCCGGGGGCGTGTGTCGAGAGTCCGGCCTGGAGTTTATCGGTCTTAGGGTAGTTACGTGGTGCTTTTTTAGGGTTTAGGTTCAGGTTTAGGGTTTAGGACTTAGGTTTAGGGTTTAGGGTTTAGGGTTTAGGGTTTAGGGTTTAGGGTTTAGGGTTTAGGGTTTAGGGTTTAGGGTTTAGGGTTTAGGTTTAGGGTTTAGGTTCAGGGTTTAGGGTCAGTGTGTTCTGAGCGTAGTTTCATGATCCCTTAATATGGTCCTTTCCTTCTTTAAAGGTTTCTGATGTATTGGTCCTTGAGTTGTATAGGGTATGTAAGGGGCATATAATACGGGGTGCCCTTTTACGGGCCCATACGAAGGGCTTAGGTCTTAAGGAGATTCACTCGAGACTCAACACAGTACTAAGAGGGGGAGGGGGAGAGGCTTGGCGAAGCTCCCGGAGGTAACGTGTAGCCGAAGCCCTCAGCCCCACCCATCTCAAAAGTCTCAAGGATCCCAAAATAGGAATGGGGGGGGGGGTCTTCCAAATCATGGGTGCTTCTTTGGGTTTCCATAATAGCAAGGATTCTGGTATTTTTGGAGGGGGTATATAAGCGATAGCTGGTAGCCCCATTTCAGAAACCCCCAAATCGAAGGCCCGCGGCTGGATCCTTGCACCTCTGGGCGCTTTCCTTGGGTACCGCTGCGCAGGCGGTTTTCGAGGGTTTGTTTCCTTTTTGGCTTAGGGGGTGTTTAGGGTTCATGGTGCAGGGTTCAGACAATGATGGGCTTTTATACCCTTATTCCACTTAACAATAGGCCCGTTTATAGGGTTGACCCTGGGCATTCGATTCGAGCAAAGGTACAAGGTATGCGATCTCCGAGGGAAGATTTCAAGACTCCTCTCAAAGGGTTTAGGGTTTAGGGTTTAGGGTTTAGGATATGTGCTCCAAACATTGCAAGATGAGTTGAAATCATGAGTCGCTCGCACATTATAATTAGGCATGTCTCCGGAACAAAAAGGCATTTTTCCGCACCCACGAGGGTTTACCAAAGAAGCCCTGAAACGTTGGAGGTCGATGGTTCTCAAACCCTATAAGCCCGAAACCCTAAACCTCAATCTTTCAAGCCAGGGCGCCGACTGACAGCCTTCTAGCACTCAACATGGGGGGTTAGTGGAAACCCCAAAGCCTCTCGATCTCAGCCAGCACTTATACAGGTCTGCGCAGAGTACGGCTTCATACCCTAAACCCTAAAAACCCTTCCAAAAGGCAGGGTTGTTTGTCAGCGTACAAGGTACAAGGTTGCTCTAAAGCTACAGCTGCTTGCTGTCGTGGAGGCGTGGGTCTTTCACCGGCGACAGCGACATGGGCAAAGTCGACTTCACCGAAAGGCTTAAAGAAGTTGTAATAAGGTAGTATAGCGCATCATAACAGTCTTAGGTGCGCCAAGCGGTACCCTTCTCTGCCCCTGTGAGCTAGGTGCGCCTACACCCCATCAAGAAAGAGCCTCCAACTTTGGTAGACCCTCCAGCCAGAACCTTGCCCTTAAAAGGGTTTAGGCTTTAGGGTTTAAGGTTTAGGGTTTAGGGCTAGGGTTTAGGGTTCAGGGTTTAGGGTTTAGGGTTTAGGGTTCAGGGCATTTACACTGCCTGCATCCTCAACCGTGGCTCCCGGAAAGTGTCGTGCCCGGTTGCGGGCTTAGGGTTTCTGGTTAAGGCTTAGGTAATGAGTGTTGTGCGGTGATACGCCCACCCGCCTAGGCTCCCGACTTTGCGGATCGATGGTGCGCAAGGTTGCCTAAACTCGATGGCCTAAGACGCGGGTTGTGGCTCAGAAGTTAATCTAACTTAAATCTCTACGACATATTGAGTGCTTTCATACCTGAACCGTTCCTGAACCCCCCATGAAGTTGGGTCTGCCAGTAGTGTCAGGGTCGTTTGTCTGGGGCTTGGGGTTTAGGGTTTGGGGTTTAGGGTTTAGGGCTTAGGGTTTAGGGTTTAGGGTTTAAGTGCGCAGGCCACTGCTCATCGGGAAGATCCGTTGCAGTGGTTGGAGGAGCATCCTGGCTGATGCTTGCAGCAGAGTCTACCAAAATCCCCCCCCCCCCCCAAAAAAAAAGAGCACCTTCTGTTCTATGCTATATAGATATAGACGCTAAACCCTAAACCTTAAACCCGAAACCCTAAACCCTAAAGCCTAATCACTTGTAAGCATCTTTGTAACTTCTAGGATGGGCCCCTGTTCATGGCAGTTGGGGGATCTGGGTGAGCCTTAACCCAGCACCTCTTCAGGTGCGACTACCAGGTAAACCCTAAACCCTAAACCCTAAGCCCTAAACCCTAAACCCTAAACCCTAAACCCTAACCCCCAAACCCCAAACCCTAAACCCTAAACCCTAAACCCCGGAGAATCCTTTGCGCAGCTCCGGGCCGAGGTTGGAGTCTCCCCGCGCCCAGGACTTTGTGGCGGCCCAGAATGCGCGAACTGTGGGCCTGCTGGGCGACCCGAGGAGCCCCATAGTTTAGGGTTTAGGGTTTAGGGTTTGTAGGGTTTGGGGTTTAGGGTCTAGGGTGCATGGTTTAGCGTTTAGGGTTTAGGGTGTAGGGTTTAGGGTTAAGTCTAGGGGGGACATGCGTTTGGGGGTTGGTTTCGTTGAGCTTTCGAGGTGTTGTGCGCAAGGGTATGTTTGGACATTGTGATTGCGGTGTTGTCAAGAGGTGTTACTTCTGGGGTTTGGCTTGAAGCCGTTTATGCCATTATGTTATAGGGTCGAGGGCTGAGGGCTTCCGAAACCCTAAAGCCTGAACCCTAAACCCTAAAGCCTGTGCTGGTGGGCAGGCAGGTTTACCAAGGTTTTGCGCGTCGATACTTGAAGGGTCCCTACAGGGACCAAACAGAGACCCTAATTTAGAGAACTACCCACTTTTAGTTGGACTTAGAAGGCATACAGGGTTTTAGGGTTGGTTTGAGGGTGGACGGCTCCCAAGTCCTCTAAACATGTAAGCCAAACGCCCAAAATTGCTGCTACCACCCACCTTAACAATCCATACCCAATCGCAAGCCCCCTAGAAACACAAATCCAACTTCCCCTCCTTGGGGGGCGAGTGGAGGAGCTTGCCGCTCTTTGGGCGTCTGCTGGAGACGGCGGCGTGAGCTGCATTTGGTAATGGGAAGTAAGGTTCAGGGTTGAAGGGTTTAATTAGGGTTGAAGGGTTAGGGTTGAGGGTTTAGGATTTAGGGGTTAGGGTTTAGGGTGGCAGAGGAGGTTCTGGAGGTTCTGGAGGTTATAGGCTGATATGCCAGATGGTTGAGTGGTTCAGGTGGCGTTTCCTGCAGGGCTTAGGGCTAGAAGGGTAGTCTAAGTTTGGTTGGGTGTTTCAGTTTTGGTTTGGGGCTTGTGGTTTAGGGTTTGGGGTTTGGGGTTTAGGGTTGAAGGTCGTCTGACTTTCGTTGCGCATCGTTTCACTGTACTTGTGCTGGATCTTTCTGCCGAGTTGAGAGCATCTCTTTGCGGATGTTTACATGAGGGTATTTAAAGGAATGCCAGCCAGCCACCGAAGCCGAATCGTTGTAGACCGCGTCCACCATGCGCTCGGGGGTACGCTCTGTCGAAAGCCCTGATGCACAAAAGGTGGTCCCATAAAGATGTTGATCTTGGCCTTGCAAAATAGCTTCTGACGTCCGCTGCACATGGCTTTCACGGAAGGGCGTGTCAGCTGCGGTCTATCGCCCACCGCAAGCCGACTGTCAAGGGATGTAACGGGTCCGTCCATGATTTTAACGAGGCCTTGGCAATGCAATGACGACTCTGCAGCTTCAAGTGGTTGACTGCGTGATTGGGGCTATCAGAGTTGGACTATACCACAGGCAGCTTGCTGACTCGGTGTTTGTTCTGTCGATCTAAACCTTAAAGCCTGGCTAAGTTCGATGCCAAGCTCCATTCCTGTGAGGAGACCACCGACACGGACGGAGATCCGCTTCGACGCACGAGCCGCAATTAGAGCCATCCGGTGACCTCACGGCCGAGCCACCCCCAACATAGCCCTAAGGGTCCATGTACCTCATTATGATGTACTTGGGCACTACAGTCCCTAAATGGGAGGTACATTGAGGCGCAGGGTATTCCTTGTATAGGTACATGGACCCTTAGGGCAGAGTCTTAATCACCTGAATCTTTGCAAATGGCAAGTCCCTTGCTTTTACACAGCGTTGTACATACCAAACCTTACACCTTTACACTTCGAATAGGTAGATCCTGCTCTTTATGTAAACTAAACCTCAAACCCTCTTAAACTTCAGCAAGATGTCGACTGGAGCCTTTCCCTTGCTTAGGAAAGCTACCGCAAGTTACGGAGCTGGGTGGCCAGTTCTATGATTTCTGGCTCCTTGGTTTCTATATAATGGAGTGGGGGGGGGGGGGGGAGGAGGCTCTGCCGGAGATTCTACTATTTTGGGGGATCATAGAGGGGTACCGCTACTTCTGAGCAATGTACTTGGGGTAATAAGTTCAGATCCAAGGAAGTGCTGAAGCTTATTGTCATATGCTTCTGTCAAGGAAGTGTGGGTTAAGGCGGCTTAGGGGGTGAGGCTTGAGGTTGCATGTGCGCCTGCAATCCGGAGTTTGAGCTGCAAAGACAGCACTTCTGGGAAAGGACAGGATTTGAGGTTAAGGTTTCGGGGTTTGCGGTGTAAGGTTTTTATTGAAGTCAGAGGCTTCTTTTCTTTCTTGAAGCCCAAATCAAACAAACTCGGCACACATGACCAGGTCGGACGCACGGCACCCCCGTGGGGTTTGGCGGCGCACGACGCTGCAGAGCCTCGGTGTTGGTTGCGCGCGTTCGTTTTTTTCAAACACAACTCAAAGCCGTTGAAGCTTTGCGTTTCAAGCTCACAGGTTTTTTCTCCAGGTTGAGCCTTTTTTCATCCTTGAGAAGTTGAGCTTTTGGAGGTTTGTAGATGAAAGCCGTGAGGCTTGCCCTTTGAGAGGTACCTGGCCAGGTCCGGAAACCTCAACACATTCTCAGCATCTCCGGTTTGGGCATATCGGGTGTGGTTCCTTCCCTACGTGATACTCTACCCTCCTCTGTGGGCTGTGGGTTTCCGAGAATGATTCCAAGAGGCCCAACAAACCACCGAGAACTGCTTGCCTAAAAGTCTTAAACGCCAACTTAGACGCCCCCAGCCCGGCACACCTCCGGGCAAGGAGCTTCCTGAGTGACGCCCCGGACTGGGAGGCGCGATTTAGGGTTGAGTGCTCAGGGGATTTCTGACACAAAACATTGAACATTCATGCAAAATACATATTCATGGTGAAAAAAATAAGCTTCATTTAAGCAAAATTCTCTGGAATCATATATATATATATATGTACTTTTGAAGTTTCCAAGTTATCCTCTGAGAATCAGAACTCTCTCTATATATATATATATGTATATATACAAAGCTACACCCTCACCATTTGGCTCAGACATTTGACGCATTAGGGCATAACGTGTTCGCTTTGTTTGCTTCGGTCTTGAAAGGCGAGCTTGGTTCTGCCTGTTGCGTTGTTCTGTCCACCCTCCAAATCCCATATCCCTCCAAGCCCTACAGCCTCTAAGCCATAAACCCGAAGCCCTCGAAACCCTGAACCCGAGACCCTAACCCCTAACCCCTAACCCCTAACCCCTAAACCCTAAACCCTAAATCCTAAACCCTAAACCCTAAACCCTAAACCCTAAGCCCTAAACCCTAAACCCTAAACCCTAACCCCTAAACCCTAAACCCTAAACCCTAAACCCTAAACCCTAAACCCTAAACCCCAAGCCCTCGAAACCCCAAACACCACAAACTTCAGGTCGTGCTCGACCTCGCCGAGCTGGGCCGCGCGGAGGGTGAGAGCTTCGTCTGGCGCGGCTACGACGCCCTGTTGGAGGCCGCGTTTTGCGCGGCGGTAGAGAAAGCCCAGAATACCCCTAAACCCTAAACCCTAGACCCTAAACCCTAAACCCTAAACCCTAAACCCTAAACCCTAAACCCTAAACTCCCTCAATCCTTGAACCCCCCCAGAAATCATTGGACCCTCATGGACTCATGGGTGTAGCTCGGGTACTCCGTATAAAGGGCAATTGCAACTGGAAGGGCTTTTGCTTGAAAAGGCTCCTTAAGCTCATCCTTGGCTGGAGTACAGGCGTGCCTTGTTGAAGAGTGGCTTCTGTGCATTGGTCACAGGGCTTTCTGTGAGCTTGCGGATCAGATTCCTCAGAGGGTTTAGGGTTTAGGGTTTAGGGTTTAGGGTTTAGGGTTTCTTTATTCATCTTTCATTGGTTGAGGTCCCCTATAAAACCCATCAGGCAAACAAGGTGCGCAACTATGCGTAGGCTAACTGTCAAGCTAGTAGGGGAGTTGCTCGGGTTCAGCAGCGCAGGGCTTAGGGTTTAGGGGTTTAGGGGTTTAGGGTTTAGGGTTTAGGGTGAGTGGGCACCAGGCAAAGTCGCGAGGGCCTTGTAGTGAGCTGTTTTGGGTCTCAGTTCCTGTGGAGAAGATGATGCACGTGCTTGCAAGGTGGGGAGACAGGAATTCGGATTCTCTAGTCGGGGATTCGTTGAGGCATTTGCTGCTAGCGAAGGTTCTGGCAGGGCTTATAGGTTGTTAGGGTTCACGGCACCACTCCACAAGCAACATGTCGGGGGCGTTGCTGTCAGGATGGACGGGACTCCTGGACGGTGACTCGGGCGATGGCGGCTGTCCTGCAGTCCCTGAGAAGCCGAATCCCCAAACCCTAAACTTCAACCCTAAACCCTAAACCCTAAACCCTAACTAAGCCCTAGGTGTGGCGGGCCTCACGGAGAATTGCCACCCTCATACCCTGCCCCCCCGCCCCGTGTTATCGCCCCCCCCCCCCCCCCCCCCCCCCCCCCCCCCCCCCCCGCCCCCCATGCGCCCCCCGCCTCGTAATCCCGACACAGGGGTTTCAGAAAATTAGGGGCACCCTTTTGGGGTTTGCTAGTTTTCTACTATCAGGACTGTGGTATCTCGGGGGTATAATAGGTGGGCTGTTGTTTTGAGCTTATAAGTTTGTATTCGGAATCTAAGAATGCCAATTACAAAAAGGGCCCTTGTACTTCCTGTGTTGCCTTATAAGTTCGGCTGATTGGCCAAGGGCTTAATGTGGAGGCTCCTCAGGGACTTCATCAGTTCGGCATGTGCATCTGCGGGTTAGGGTTGCGTGTTTAGTGTTTTGAATGGTTTGCCCCCCCTCCCCCCCAAGAAGGCCAACAGAGAAGCTTCTGCACCCCCTGTGGTGGCCCTAAGCCCGACACCGAACCATAGAAGACTGAGAAGGCTCGGCTGCTCTGTCGCCTGAAACACCGAGCCCGGAAGCTCGCTGCTAAAGTTATATAAGGTTTCAGGGTTTGGGGCCCAAACCCTGAACCCTAAACCCTAAACCCTAAACCCTAAACCCTAAACCTTAAACGGTATAGGGGCTCAGGGCGTTTCCTCTGAGGTCTGCCTCTCCAGGGGAGGTGCCGATGCATTCGTCGCACGGGAGCCACGAGGATGCACCTACATTCCGAGGGCTATCTTCTGGTTGGCTCTTAGGACTTTAACTACCCTAAACCCTAAACCCTAAACCCTAAACCCTAAACCCTAAACCCTAAACCCTAAACCCTAAACCCTAAACCCTAAACCCAACTACAATAAGGGGGCGTAAAAGTTTAACTTTTAGGAGGGGTTTAGAAGTCTGCCAAGTTCCGAGGCTTGGGCTGGGATTTCATGAGGGTGAAGGGGGGTTTAGGGCTCATAGGGTTTATAGGATTTAGGGTTTCGAAATCGGCCTACCTACTCCATGAGGGTCAAGGGGGGTTTAGGGCTTATAGGGTTACTTCATGAGGGTCAAGGGGGGTTTAGGGCTTACCCAAAGGCTCCTATGTAGTACCTTTTTGGGGTAGCATACTAAAATCTCCCATGGCTAACCCGAAAAGGAACTACATTGAAGCCTCTGGGTAGGGTTTATAGGATTTAAGGGTTTCGAAATCCTACAGGCCTAGCTACTCCTGCTGAGGGCGGGGCGTTGAGGCACACGAAGCCGAGGGGTGATATGGTGTCGCCAGAAGTGTTGTGTCTAAGAAAGCTCGCAGTGCCTCGCAGAATCAAGTAGGTGGGGACTTAACATAGGGTATGTACACATATGGGTTTGTCCATTTTGGGGGGCGCCCAGTTCTAAGAAGGGCGCACGAGTTGCACAGCCGCGACACATACCCCCGCAACATACCCCGTAACATACCCCCGAAATTGCAGATACAGTAGCTCATGATGCCGCGAAACATACCCGAAAGATACCCCCGAAACATTCCCCGAAACACACCCCGAAACATACCCGCGAAACATACCCTGATCCCAACACCTCTCGCCCCCCCCCCCCCCCGCCCCTATCGAACAAACTCATATAATTATGTACTATACATATATATATATATTTATATAAGTGTATTACGCATATTCATTCATTCATTTTCTTTATTTGGGTTTACGTGGATCGTATGTAGGGATGCTTTGGACCAGGCATATCCCAAGCTCCACTTTCCGCACACATTGGGCTCAGCCCTTTTGGTGGCCTGTGAAGTGCATGCAGTTTGGGGGCTTCCGGGTTTACATGGGCGAAGAAGTTGAGGGCTTAGGGTTCAGGGTTTAGGGATGCATACGGGCTCAGCCTGGCAGTTGGCTGCATCTCCCCCACTGACCTCCTTCTCGCCATGTAGCAGCTTGCAAGCAAACTCAGACACCCCCAGCCTGGACCTTCACCCTAAACCCTAAACCCTAAACCCTAAACCCTAAACAAAGTGCCCCAGACACCTACGAGCCCCGAGTTCAAATGTCCTCCTCCAGATCTACCTGCAACAAGCCTTGCAAGGTTTGATCTCGTGCGGAAGCGCTTCGTACCCGAGGATGAAGGACGGAGGACTTGTAAGAGGGCTTATGGGATTACAGGCTTCGGTGTTTTTGCCGTTATAAGGGTGCACCTCTTTGTGCGGAAAAAGGCTTGGCGACTCACATTCCTAGTCATGTTGGGCGACAGCCTTCTAAACCCTCCTCTGCGTGGGAGTCAGGCTCTTTGGACTTTCTGGTTCCTGTGGGCAACTTGCAACCCTAAACCCTAAACCCTAAACCCTAAACCCGCCTCACATCCATAAGACTTTGAGCCCTCAACTGTTTGTGGAGCAGCTTGCAAAGGGCTGTGGGCGAACTGCGAGACCCTAATGCTCTAAAGTTTTCACGCCATTGACCCAGACTCCAGTACCTCAACAGGCGGGTTCGTGGTACCAGAGGGCAAGACCGCGCCGCACTCAGCTCCTGTTTGGGCATCATTCCGAAGCAGTGCCAGCTTCCTCGTTTCTAGGGTTAGATACCCTTGTACACCCCTTGAACCCTCAAAATGACGTTTTCGTAAGGGTTAGGCTAGGTGCCCCCCATCAGACCCTAAACCCTAAACCCTAAACCCTAAACCCTAAACCCTAAACCCTAAACCCTAAACCCTAAACCCTAAACCCTAAACCCTAAACCCTAAACCCTAAACCCTAAACCCTACACCGACGAGCCCCAAGCCGATGAGCCGCAAGGTCCTCTCGTACCGATCCAGGGAGGTGCTCTTGGTCAGCACAGACTTCGGCCCCGGTTCGCTGACCAGCGCAGGCTCGCGTGCATGCGCTGGTGTGAAGAATCCTCTTGGCCAGAGTTTTTGGGATTTCATGCGCGCCTCGTGCTGCCCTCCAAACCGCAACTTTTTTTTTTTGGGGGGGGAGGGGGAGGGGCGGTTGTTCGAATTGCCTTCCACTTGGGGGGTCTGGCTCCTTGAAGTTAGGAGCCCGACACCCCCCCCCCCCCCCAAAAAAAAAGATAAAAAAACAAGAGGAAAAAGAAGATAAAACAAAAAGAACAAGAACACAAAAGACAGACCGTTGAGTTCGATTGCGCCAGGTTACCCTCGTGTGGTGAAGGCCTGGCAAAGGGGGACGCCTTTGACCGACGCATCAGTCGTGTACGACTCTGGGCTTGCGAGTTGGTTAGCGATCCACAGCTGTAGGGTTTATAAATGAGTTCGGGGTTTCGGGTTTAGGGTTTAGGGCTTATAGGGCTTAGGGTTTAGGGTTTAGGGTTTAGGTTTTAGGGTTTAGGGTCTAGGGTTGGTGTAGGGGTTTCAATGGGTTTAGGGATATGGTTGGGAGTCTCGGGGGCCATTGCCGACCCCGACCCTGAAGATACTACTGCATGATGCAGCATGCCGGCAAGCTTCCATAGGCTCCAGTCATTTCAGGCAGTTGTGTTTCCTGTCTCAGATACTCACAAGGGAGATTTTCCGTATACTGACAGGGTCAGTTGCCTTTGTTCCCTGTACTAACAGGGTTGGTTGCCCTCAACCCTAATCCCCAAACCCCAAACCCAGGAAGGCGATCCCAATGACCACGCTGCTCGCTTGAGATTTGGATCCGTTTCGAACCCTACCTCATTCTCAACCCTAAACCGTTTGGGGTTTATGGTGTACTTTTAGGGTTTAGGACAACCATGTTGGTTAGAATGGGGCGAACTGTGGCGTAATTCCGAGAACTTTAGAAGTCTAAGCTGTTCATTCTTGGCGGCTGTCTGGGTATTTCGGCCTGAAATGTGAGGCTGCCTTCTCTGTTTCTACCCTGCCTCCGCCTATGGCCAGTGCATACAAAATCAGATAGATTGTAGAAGCCCTGGCAACCCCTGCACTTGCCAGGGTTCCGAAGTGTTTCGGGCTTCTGGGGAGTCAGTTGAGGTTCCGGCGTCGATCCCTAAGCCTGACACCCCAGCGCTTGTGCCCACCTCTCCCCCCAACCCCGTCCCAATAGGATGGGTTGCTATACTCGAAAGCCCCTGAAAGCCTAACTGGGCAGCTCTGACTTGCTGGGTAGTGGTAGAGGTGCAAGTTTTTTCATTCGGCGCTGTCGTCTGTTTCGTCGGGCTTTTGGCAGAAACCCTGATCCCTAAACCCTATGTTTCAAACTCTGCCAAGCCATCAACTCCCCAGATCCAGGTAGTCTACGGCTATGTGGCGCGACGCTGGCGCCGTGAATCTCTGGAGGTTCGCAACTGGAGTTCAGAATATGAGGCACTCGGGGTTGTTCGGAATTTGGGTATGTTACCTGTTGATGATGGGTGTCAATGGGAGGCTTATAAGGTTCAGGGTTTAGGGTGGGTGACGGGGGGAAACCCTAGCCTAAAACGTAAACTTTCCGTAAACCCTAAACCCTAACTGAGTTGAGTCTTTTCTGGGGTGCCCCCAAGCTTACTAATGCCCTACGATTCACGACCCTAACCCTAAACCCCTAAACCCCAAACCCCTCAACCCTAAACCCTAAACCTATTTTCTGTAGAACAAATCTGCAAGCAAGCACCTAAACGGGGCCCTAAAGCCTGAACCCTAGACCATAATCCTTGATCCCTCAACCGGGGAAGATGGTTTCGGGTTTAGGATATAGGGTTGAGTGAGGGAGGGGTTTTGCAGTCTTAAAAACGTGTGCTTCAGCTGGTTTCAGCTCGCAGTGACGGTTCAAGCTTCCGTCTCCAATGTTTTTCAGGCTTCGGGGGGTCCGTTTGAATGCTGCCATTGCTTCTTGTAGCTCGCGCAACCTGCAACAAGCCAAAAGCCCAAACCCTACCCAAACCCGCAACCCTAAACCCTCAACCCTAAACCGTAAACCCTCAACCCTAAACCCTAAAACCCTAAAACCCAAGCACACGGATTTTGTCAGGTGATCCAGCGGGCCACCAGCTTCCACGCCTCTGCTCCTGGGGCCTTGAGGTTGACAGGTTCAGGGTTTATTGTTTAGGGTTTGGGGTTTAGGGTTTTGGCGGTTTTGGGTCTTGGGTTTAGGGCCCTGGGGTTGACTGGTTGAAGGAGGCGCTGCGCTTTTGGGGGTTCGGGGCTTGTGGTTTTGCAAGGTTAAGTGGGGTCAGAATTCGGGCCCTAAACCCCTCAACCCTAAACCCTGAACCCGAGGTTGAAGGTTTGATTTTGCAAAGCCTGAAAGAGCAGCCTCTAGGTATCTTTTAAGTTCATAAGGAACTCCTGACCTGGGGGATTTAGGATGTAGGGCCTAGACTCCTGGACAGGGGCCCAGATGAAAAGGGGTATGCACTTTTGGATCCCCAAGTTCGAATCCCCCCGACCCCTCACACAATGCAAACACACTGAGTTTGTAGTTTGCTTGCTGGTTCTTTGTTTTCTCCCGGCTTAGTTCTTGGGCTTCTCTTTCAGCCTTGCTACCGTGGGAATGGCCGTAGGATGTGAAAGTTTGCTGCCTAAAGCTGCTGGAAGAATGGGCACGAAGCTCCTAAGCCTATCCCCCGCAACCACCAACACGCAAACACAGAGGCACGTCTAGAAGCTCGGGAAGACACGGAGCTTTCCACAAGTCCTCTGCTGGTGGCCTGAAGCCCGAAGCCAATGCCCTGAATCCGAAAATCTTCCTCCCTTGCTCCCTTACATTCCAAGCCCTAAGCCGAGTCCCTTCATCTTACATCTTAAGCCCGAAGCCCACCAATCTAGTCTTGTGACCCGAAACCGAAACCCTAAATCCTAACTCTAACCCCAAACCCTCAAGCGTAATCAGGAGTGGCTTGTGCGCTCGGGCCATGGCTGGGCCCGCCTGAATGTGCCGGCCGATGCTGCGCAAGCCTCAGGCGGTGGTTAGGGTTGCTAGGGTTGCTAGGGTTGTTAGGGTTGTTAGGGTTGCTAGGGCTGCTAGGGTCGTTAGGGTTTTTAGGGTTGTAGGGTTTGTCAGGGTTGCTAGGGTTGTTGGGGTTGTTAGGGTTTTTAGGGTTGTTAGGGTTTTGCTGTTTTTTAGGGTGATTAGGGTTTCAGGGTTTCAGGGTGTAGGGTTTAGGGTTTCAGGTCCCCCTTTCTGAATCTTAAGCAAAAGGTCCCTTGTATTGCGATAGGGCACCCGTGCTTCTGGTCCTCGGGATTTACGGCCTTTCGGGATTCATAAACCCTAAACCCTAAACCCTAAACCCTAAACCCTAACCCCTAACCCCTAACCCCTAAACCCTAAACCCTAAACCCCAGACAAAACCCCAAACCCTTCCCTTCCAGCTTCCAGGATGGGCGATTCTACCCGATAAGCCCCTTGTAAAGGCCCTTTGTAGGGTTTCCTATGGGGGCTACCATCCTGGAGCCCAAAGACGGTGTTTTTAAAGAACCATATTGAGGGCTTTACAACAACCCATCCAGGAGAAGAAAGACCAGAGCCGCCATAAGGGTTTGGGGTTTTGGGTTTAGGGGTGTAGGGTTCAGCTCACGGGGTGTTGCTGACCCTAACTGAACCCTGAAGCTTAAAACCCTAGACCCTAAAACCTAGGACCTAGGACCCTCTAAACTTAACCCTAAACCCCCAAAACCCCCAAACCCCTAAACCCTAAACTTAACCCTGAAACCCTTAACCCCTAAAACCCTAAACCCCTAAAACCCCTAAAACCTTTAGCGCTGAGGAGGTGACTTTTTTTGGTTCATGGCTCCTCCTTCGGCTATGTAGCGCTCTTGGCGGCTTTCCAGCAGGCTCGGAGGCATAGGGTTTGGGGGTTTTGGGGCTTAGAGGGTTTAGGATTTATAGGGTTTAGGCTTCATAGGGTTTATAGGGTTTAGGGTTTAGGGTTTGTAGGGTTTAAGGTTTAGGCTTTACAGGGTTTTGGGTTTACAAGGTTTTGGGTTTACAGGTTTCGGGTTTATAGATTGAAGGTAGTAGGGGCTTACGGGCTTAGGTTTGCCTAAACGCAAGCTCCGGGTCTGGCCTTTTGGTGTTCGGGATTGCAGTGGTTTCTCAGGTTGCGCGTGCCTGTGTTTTACGCTCATGAGGTTTCCCAAAGGATCCATGTACCTATAGAGTAGATACTTGGGCCCTAAAGCTACAATATAGGAGCCCCTTTAAGGCCCAAGTATATACTATATAGGTACATGGATCCTTAGGGTTTCTAGGTCGTGTCAAGCTCTTGGAGCGTTTGTGCGGCTCAGAGTTTGGGAGCTTCAGGCTCATGGTTTCTTTTGCAGACTCCGGAGTTAAAGTAGAGCTCATGAAGTGGTTTCTAGCACTGTCTGGGAGATGCCTAAAACCCTTGAACTCTGAAACAATGATCACTACAGCCTACCCCAGCTCTCACGCCACCTGCTGCCACCCATTCTAAGTTCTTCCTGTGATAGTGTGCGGAGCCTTAAAGTGGTCATTTCTCAACATTATCGTCCCTAGATGGGTGCCCTAAAGATTAGGGACCGCCTTACTAGTAACCCCAAAAGGGACCCGAATGTAACCCTAAGGATCCATGTACCTATATAGTATATACTTGGGCCTTAAAGGGGCTCCTATATTGTAGCTTTAGGGCCCAAGTATCTACTATATAGGTACATGGATCCTTTGGGTAAAGAATCCCCCAAAGGTTGGAATTCGTTGGGCTTCGATGGTCGTGGTTTAGCAAGGGTGCAGAGCACTCTGGGGGTTCAAAATCAGGAGACACCCGCCCCCCCGCCCACAACCTCAGCCTCACTTACCACGTACCCCAACAGAGTTGAGGATTCATTGTCTGTAGCAGGGCTTGCAGAGATTCGGTTGGTGGTTTTCGGTCCGCAACGTACCTAAGTTTGAAGGCTCCACATGAAAAATGGAACCCCGAAAGGACCATAACTCAGAGAACTGCCAGCATGCTCTCAGGGTCCTGGATTTCCTTTCAAGGGTTCTGAAGTATGGGCCCTTGTAGAGGGTATATAATGGATATATAGGTGGCCCCCTTTCAAAGGACCCGACCCTATGCCCTAAATCCCAAACCCTAAGCCCTAAACCCATCTTAAGGGCCCGACCGTACATGGCAGGAGCACTGATCGCCTCACCACTTGACGCAGCAATGGCTGCGGCGCCGGAGTGGCAGGTGGCTTGAGGGTGGGGTTTGGCTTCAGGGTTTACAGGCTTTACAGGGTTTGCAGGGTTTTTAGGTTCTACAGGGTTTATGGGGCTTAGGGTTTAGGTTTAGGGTGGAGCCTTCCTATGTCATGTACAACATTGCTATGAGGACCAAAGTTATTCCGACGATTCCCCCTACCGATAGACCTTTTGTTCGACTCGAGGGATAGTCTATAGTAAGGGCGATACAGTCGGGGATGCGCGCGGCTAGCCCTGCACCGATGCGGCAAAGCTGCTATCTAAAAGTAGGCGCAACTCCGGTGACGGTAAGTCGGCACGGCTTCCATGGACGGGGCGATGCTTGAGCCTGCGGATAGTCAGCTGCCAAGCTCTAGCCTCAAAGCTTAGGATCTTCAGTAATTCGTCCCATCTTGGCCCCCCGTCAACCCTTACTGCACACTCCAAGTCGGAGTTTCAACCTATACTCCAAAACCCCTAACCCCTATAAACCCCAAAACCCCTAAACCCTATACACCTGAAACCCCAATAGTATGCAAGCCTGGAAGGTTCTTTGGGAACCTGCACGCGGGGAGCTCAGGGCGATCTTTCTCCCCCCTTCGTTCTCACCCTTCCAAGCCTTCGAAGCCCCCCCCCCCCCTTCGTCCTCGCCTTCGAAGCCTTCTCCTCACCCTTCAACTGGTTGGGTTTTCTTTGGGGTTCCTAGATCACATCCTGGACCACTATAGGATTCGGAGTAGGCCCTAAATTCCCTTAGAAGCGCGGAACCAAACGCATCTGTTGCCAGGTAAATGATAACAAGTGTCTTGCAGATGCGGTTGAAATCGGCGATGTTCTTTCAAAAGGCCAAGGATGCTTTCATAGAGACTCCACTCTTCTTGTGTCGGGCGTGAGCAGCTTGTTTTGCTTCAAAAGTTGCTGTGCGAGACCAAAGTGTATGGTCGACCGCAGGCTGCCAACGTGTGTGCAGTCTGTATCACGGCAGACCCGAACCCTTTAATAAAAAAGGGCTGTCCCTGGACCCCTAGATCCTGACGCACCCTTTGGCCATTGAAAAAAGAACCTAAACCCTCAACCCCATAAACCCTATACGAAAGCTTCCTTTGACCATCAAGCTTCAACCCTCAAACCCTAGACCCTACAAAGCCTGAAGCTCCCCTTGGCCGTTCCTTCTTGAGGTGAAGACACGGCTGGAACGCCCCGGTTCTCGACTTTGCAAAAGGTCGTTTGTACCTGCTCCTCGACGCAACGTTTTAGGATTTAGGGTTTAGGATTTAGGGTTTAGGGCCCCCCACTGTTTCTTTGGGCTTCACATTGCGGGAAAGGTTTGTTGGAGGCTTTTGTTGAGGGTTTGGGGTTCCGGGGTGTTTCCTTGGACCCCCAATGTAAAAAAATCAGCCCAAAGCCCCAAAAAGCACCATTGTCTTGCATACTTTGGGGGTGTAGGTAGGGGTTTAGGGGGTTTGGGAAACCGTAAGCCCTCTGGTCGTCTTACAGAGCAATCTCGGAAGGCGCCAGCAACGGGGCGCCGCGTGAGCCGTTTATCAAAGCCTCAGGTATATAGTTCCGGTTCAGGTCCTAGTTCACTATCTTTACAGGGTACATGTATGTATTCTTGAACCGTTTGTTGATGAGGAGTTGCGTTGGATACGCACACTCTCTCTGTCTCTCTGTCTCTCTGTCTTTCTGTCTCTCTGTCTCTCTGTCTCTCTGTCTCTTTCTGTCTCTCCGTCTCTCTCTCACTCTCTCTCACTCTCGAGCCTCATGCGCGTGATCCCCCGATCATCGCTCTGATGCACAGCGGTTCCGGGGTGAGGCGAGGTTAGCTACCGAGGAGGGGTCTCTAAGTTTCTGGCCTCAAAAATACACGTTATCGAGCTTGCGGCTTCACCCCAAACCTGAATAGCTCGACGTCCTAGTAGCTCCCGAGACCTCACGCCCCAAACACAAAACCCCAGACCATCGTTTAGGCGGCCCAGTGGCGCCCTTTTCCCTTTTTTTTGTGTTGGTTCAAGGTTCCCTTAAAGGTAACCAACCTCAAAACAGGGTGCCCTTGTTGTAAGATGGCGGTTGCTGGCCTACCAAGTCGTTTAGGCAACTACGTCGTCCTTCAGATCCTGGAGAGCGTGCGCAGCAAAGTGCTGACGTTGCACTTTGACGTGCCTGCTGCTACACAAGAGGGCTTTAGGGTTTAGGGTTAAGGGTTTAGGCTTAAGGCTTATGGGTTAGGGTTTAGGGTTTAGGGCTTAGGGCTTAGGGGTTAGGGGTTCGGGGTTTGTGCGTCAGGGTGCCCTCAGTGCCCCTAGACCCATGCATCACAAGTCTGTTGCCCAAACATGCCCCAAACGGGTGGGAATTTCCATCACCACCTGGCTCCAATCCAAGTCCCCAAGCTTTGAGCCCCTAACTCATCGTGAAGCCTAAGTCGCCCTTTAAGAGAGCTCTTGCAGTTCTGATTTCCCACTTTCGTCTTTTTCGGAAACGTAAACCCTAAACCCTAAACCTTCTGATTTCCCACTTTCGTCTTTTTCGGAAACGTAAACCCTAAACCCTAAACCCTAAACCCTAAACCCTAAACCTTACACCCTAAACCCTAAACCCTAAACCCTAAACCCTAAACCCTAAACCCTAAACCCTAAACCCTAAACCCTAAACCCTAAACCCTAAACCCTAAACCCTAAACCCTAAACCCTAAACCCTAAACCCTACCCATTGCCTAGTTGAAGGTTCACACATTAGGGTCCTGTGGCCTACATGGTCGCTCAGTGGTGCCCTTTCGCCTTTTTTGGTTTTGGTTCCAGGTTCCTCTCAGGGTTTAGGGTTTAGGGTTTTTGGTTTAGGTACCCTTGTTTTTATATGGTCACTGGGCTACCAGGCCTATAAGGGTTCAGGTGGGCGTTGGGAGGATAGTGTTAGCCTTCATAAATGCAGGTGTCAATGGGTTGTTAAGGTAGACCTCAAAACTTAACCCCCCCCCCCCCCCCCAAACAAAAAGACAATGGAAGGTAACTCACCCTAAAAACCGATTGTCGTAAGGCCTTTGGGCCCAACAACCTTTAAAAAAAGTCCCTGGAGCTCTAGGGAGCCCTAAACCCTAAACCCTAAACCCTAAACCCTAAACCCTAAACCCTAAACCCTAAACCCTAAACCCTAATTAGGCGGAGCAAAGCGCCTGGACCAGTCGCTGCTGCGGGGCCCGGAGAGGGCGACGCCTGAGCTGAAGATGGGTTTCGGGTCTGGGGTTAAGGGCTCCCTGAACCCCAACCCCAAGCCCTAAACCCTAAACCCTTAAACCCGAAACCCTAAACCCTAAACCCGAAACATACGCGCTACACCCTACAGACCCTTGTGGTTCAGGGTCTGCTGCAGGCCCAGGATTAAAGCTTCGGACGCCTAAGGTTGTTCGCCTAAAGCTTGCCCTGAATATACTGTATATTCCTAGTATGGCCCAAATATTGCTTTTAGGATTATTGAAAAGGGTCCCCTAGGACCTTAAGGGTCCAAGGTACCACCCCTAGAGGTTTTGAGGGGCGTATGAGACTTTTTTTTTTCTAGGACTTTAGGTGTTTGTTGTTTTTTTTTTTGGTTCGAGGGTCTTCTTAAGGCTCTTCACAGATGTACTATGGGGGTCGGAATAATTGCTAACATTTCCCCTCATGGTCCTTACATTCATATACTAGAAAAACCTCCATGACCCTAGTCTAATTAGTAAGGCCCCTAGATTATGTCATCAGCGAAGCTCATGGTTTGTCTCCGGAGACATGTGCGTCTTGCCTGTGAACAGGCCTGAGTATAGGGACAAATGGTTGTGGGCATGTTTTTGTTGGGGGGATTAGGGGTTAGGGTTTAGGGTTTCGGGTTTAGGGTTTAGGGTTTAGGGTTTAGGGTTCAGGGTTTAGGGTTTAGGGGGCTCGGAGGGAGAATACTTCAAGCTCCTGGCCTCGGCCACTTTATGAGTTTGATCCATTGAGTCATGTGATGTTGAGGTTGGAAGGGTTTAGTAGGGAACCAAATGGGTGTTCGTTGGAAAGCCCTGAGAAGTCCCGAATCTCAGGGTTTCTATACGTAGGGTTTCTGGGCTTGCTACTAGAGCAGGGGGTGTGGATTTGGGGGGGCTTAGGACTTTAGAGTTTGCGGGGCCGTTTTCCGAAGAAGGGGGGATTCGGGTAGACACTACAGCTCACAGACACGCGGTCCAGCTCAGTGGCTTCGAACTCAACGCACCCCTCAATCCCAAGCTCCGACTGGACGATGCCAAATTTGCTCGTCGTGCAACTTGTCGCAACACAGTGGAGCAGAACTGTGGCATAAGAATCCCTGTTAACTGCTCAATGAAGCTGTATTCCTGGACCTCCGGTCAGCATCTAGGCGCGGCGTCAGTGTCTGTGAGGGCCGTTGCCGCGTCTGGGGACGCTGTGTGGTTTGGCGATGCCGCCTGGCCTAGGGGTTCTACCAGTGCAAGTAAGACTCGGAATCTCAAGGTGCTGGATTCTGCATGGGCTTCAAGATTCTGTAGCTTGTTACAGTTGTGAGGCTCGGATTGAGTTTTGCAGGCTGTGCTGAGGCGTTCTTTTTGCCTACCCCTCCACTTGTTTCTGCATCAGTGATTCCCGCATTGAGGGGGGGGGGGGGGGGGGTTTAGATGCCCAGGTTCCCTTGCTGGGTCATCTTGTACGTAGCCCCATCTACAGAAAACATAGTCACATTTCGTGGCTCCGTGTTCCTTCAACGAGCTAGCTTTTGCCAACTGGGTTAGAGACTAGGGGATTGCGCTTCGGGTTGAGCGGGGTAACATTTTTCACTTTTAAGGGTACCTAAACTCAATAAGGAATATGAATTTGAATTTTCAATAGTATCCCAACCAAGAACTAGCTCAGTAGCCCTCTAGAACGGCAGTCTCCCCCTAAAAGCATTAATTCGGCTCCGTCCTCTCTGATACAAAAAGCCTGAATGTCATGAGGAGCTTAGGGCCCAGTGGTTGAGGTCACTCTAAGGGTACTTACATGGTCCCTAAATATTTTCCTGTACCTTCTTCACAAGGGCTCGGAAGTATGGGCCCCTAGGTTTCATAGGGTCTGTAAGGGGTATATAAGGGGTCCCCTTTTAAGGGCCTATTATTCAGAGACCACATGGGTGTTTACGAAAATAGGGGACACCAAATAGAGACCCTGATAAGGACACCAATAAGGTACCCCTAATTTCGGAGACCCCCATATGAGTACCCTAAGAGCCCCCTAGAAGGGACCTTAATCTTACTCCCCCATATATCCCCTTTAAGCCCTTATATAGTCCCTATAATAATCCCCAAGGCCCCTTGTAAGCCTAAACCCTAAACCCGAAACCCCAAACCCTAAAGTCCCTTGAGTCACCTCCTCCACCCCATGCTGCCATCCCAGGCTTCCTACACGCAGCCTCCGAAGCTCATCTACGTGCCGGATGTGCCTCGCCACATGCAGGGTTTCGGGTTTAGGGCTTAGGGCTTAGGGCTTAGGGTTTCGGGTTTGGGGTGTAGGGTTTAGGGTTTAGGGTTTAGGGTTTAGGGTTTAGGGTTTAGGGTTTAGGGTTTAGGGTGCAAGCTTCTAAGGGTAGTTTCCATGGTCCCTTAGTGTGGGCCCTTAGAAGGGTACCCTTATGTACCACTTACATATACCCTATACAAATTAGTGGCTTTAGACATCAGAACCCTTTATGGGAGGTAAGGGACCATATTAAGGGCCCATGGAAGCTACACTAAGACATCTGCTTAAGCTGCTTCAAGGAGACATTCCAGCTGCTTAGAGCTTGTAAGAGCCACAACCGAAAGTGGTCCGACGTAATCTTAGCTCACTGAACCCTAAACCCTCTAAACCCTATAAGCCCGGATAAGCCCTATATACCCTAAGGTTGAGGTTTGAGTGTTTGGGTTTGGGCTTAGGCACGGTTATAGGGTTCAGGGTTTTAGGGTTTTGGGGCTTGGAGTGATTTCGAGAGCCCGCTGTTTCGCAAACAGCCTCTTGCACTCGGCCAGTTTCGGATTTTCTTCTCCAACTTGTACGGGTGCTTTGTCAGGCGGCCAAGCCCTAAACCCTAAACCCTGAAACCTAAATCCTAACCCCTAAACCCTGTAATCTCGAAACCCTCAACTCTTTGCCTGTTATGCACTGATCCCTCCAATCCCAAACAATCCCAAAGCCCTAAACTCTAAACTCTTTGAACCCTAAACTCGCACTCGCCCTGTAACCCCTCAACCCGCCCCTCAACCCCAAACGCCACAGAAATCCTAAACTCCGCAATCCATAAACCCTAAAACCCTAAAACCCTAAAACCCTAAAACCCTAAATAACCCTGAACCCTAAACCCTAAAATCCTAAAACCCTAAACCCTAAACCCTTCTCATCCCTTTCAGCTCGAAGCCCCCAGAACCCCCAAAACCCTGTAGTCCCTGCCCCAAGAAGCTCGAACACCTATTTTCTCGCAAGTTAGCTAAGAGTGTTCATAGCAGTCGCCTACAACGAAAAGAACCCGGACCCAAACCCTAAACTGAATGTCGGGATGAGTTGGCTCATTTGGGCGTTTCTTGGGTCAGGCGCTACGTTCCCCAAAGAAATACAACTGCCCACCCACCCGAACTCGTTAGGGGTTGAGGATTTAGATTTTGGGTCAACGCCTTTACTAGACTATACCGCAAGTAAGTCCACACAGCTAAACCCTAAACCCTAAAACCTAAACTCTACACCCTAAACCCTAAACCTCAAACCCCAAACCCCAAACCTTAAACCTTAATCCTTCAACCCCACGGCCGAGATTGGCTCCTGGAGTGGCAAGGCATCTCAAGGACTTAGCATGAACTATAACCTCAGGGGCCCTGAAGCGTCGAAGCCGGTGACGCCCTCGGAAATACCCCGGTGATAGTTTAGGGTTTAGGGGTTTAGGGTTTAGGGTTTTAGGGCTTATTGTTTATTGTTTAGGGTTTAGGTTTAGGGTTTAGGGTTTAGTATACATATATGATATGCAAACACGCGGTGTGGTATACATATACACATGTACTTTTCAGTACATACTGTGCATGTATCGTACACATGAGTGCCAATAGTTCATGGGAGATTCAAGGTTCAGGCTTGGCTCCCCGAGGCTCTAGACCCTCAAACCCTCAAACCCTCAAACCCTCAAGCCCTCAAACCCTCAAACCCTCAAACCCTCAAACCCTCAAACCCTCAAACCCTCAAACCCTCAAACCCTCAAACCCCAAACCCAAAACCCTTCTCTATATCTTCCTTGGGAATTATTCTTTATTTTTGTTTATACAAAACCCAAGAGGATATTACAAATACTAGGTTTATTAAGATTCTAGGGGGGGGTATAGTTCTGTGTGCCAGGAGCGCAGCTGGTCCGCGAGCTTCCCCCACTTTTTGCAGCGAAGGTGGAGGTCGAGCAGCTGGAGGCCAGAGGCACCTTAAACGCTTTTAGGGTATGGGGGTTTGGAGGTTTGGAGGTTAAGACGTGGGGTTTAGGGTTTAGGGTTTGGGGTTTGGGGTTTGGGGTTTGGGGTTTGGGGTTTGGGGTTTGGGGTTGGGGTTTGGGGTTTGGGGGTTGGGGCTTCAGGTTCGGGTTTTAGCGGGGGTGGAGCTTAAAGGCGTTCAGGGCTTCAGGATGCCAGCTGACTTAACGCCTATAATCTTCAAGCTCTTTTTTTGGTGGAGGGGTCCCGCTAAGCAGTTTCAGGTGTTTGTACACGGGAAGGGGGCTGGGGGTAGGGAGGTGCCGAGGGTTGAGAGGAATCTGGCCGAGCCTTGAAGCTTGAGGGTTTAGGGTTTTAGGGTTTAGGATTTAGGGTTATAGGGTTTAGGATTTAGGGTTTAGGATTTAGGGTTTAGGGTTGAGGGTTGAGGGTTGAAGGTTTTCAGGCCTTCTGAAGGATCACAAGCCTTGGCCGGCGGCTCCGGACTAAAGCGCGGAACCGAAACAAAAAACACGAATAGCGGACGAGGGCAGCTCTCGGGCTACTACTCCAAGGAATGAAGTTGTTGGAAAAATGTTTTTTGATTTTTGGGGGGCTCTTAAGCAACTAGTAGTTGAAGCTTGAGGGTCTAAGCTTTCCAGGCCTTCTATTCAAAGCTCCTTTCTTTGTTTGCTTCCCCGCCCCCCCCCCCCCCTTTCCGCCCCCGGGATCCCCGGACGACGAACTTCGCAAATTGGAGAAAACCCAAATCAATAGGGGTACCCCGTATAATTCTTTGAGGAAGTCGCATACTTGAGGGTAATGCTGCTGAAGGTTAGTGACTTAGGGTGTTATGGGGCTTAGTGCTTAGAGGCGTAGGGTTTCGGGTTGAGGGTTTTAGGACTTCGGCGTTCAGGTTGTAGGGTTTTAGGGTCATGGTCCAGGTCCCCTCCCCCCGCCCCCGTCCCCCCCGCGGTTTTCAGGGCTCGGGTTTACATAGACTAAGATCCACCCAGCAGAGATTGCAAGAAAAACCTCCCCGGCCCCTGAAGGGCCAAAACAAAAACCAAAGGCGACTTCTGCGGACGGTACGCAAGCAGCCCGGCTGAACTACTGGGACCACTAGGGCCCAGAGTAGGCCCTTTGTTCCTGTTTTTAGTTTTGGGTTCCGTTATTATAAGCTCCTTTAAACCAAAATGGAGTTCCTGGTTTGAGGGTTTGAGGTTCCCTTAGAAGCCCCTTGAAGCCAAAAAGGGTACCCTTTCTTTGATTCCTAGGTTGCTGCTCGCCGTCATAGCCTGAAACCCTTGAATCCTAAACCTGTATTCCCTACCCCCCCCCCCCCCCCAACAAAAAATATACAATAGTATATATATATATATATAATTTCAAATACCCTTGAACTCGAAAATACCCTTGAACTCGAAGCCCTGAACCTCCGTTCCTCCAATTTGGCCCCAAGACACCATGCGAACCTCCCCTCAACTCCAAAAGGCTTCGAATTCTCAAGTCGCAACCGGTGGCTGCTTTTATCCGTACCCGCCCGCTACCTTAGACAGTAGAACCTCACCCTAACCCTAAACCCTAAACCCTAAACCCTAAACCCTAAACCCTAAACCCTAAACCCTGACCCTAAACCCTAAACCCTAAACCCTAAACCCTAAACCCTAAACCCTAAACCCTAAACCCTAAACCCTAAACCCTAAACCCTAAACCCTAAACCCTAAACCCTAAACCCTAAACCCTAAACCCTAAACCCTAAACCCTAAACCCTAAACCAAGCCTAGAGGTCCCTTTTCAGTGCCTGCGGCCCTCGGGTGCCGTAGACCCTCCCACGTTGATCTACGCCTACGGAGGCACAAGGGTCGGGAAGAGGGTTTAGGGTTTAGGGTTTAGGGTTTAGGGTTTAGGGTTTAGGGTTTAGGGTTTAGGGTTTAGGGTTTAGGGTCGGGAAGAGGGTTTAGGGTTTAGGGTTTAGGGTTCTCAGGGTTCTCAGGGTTCTCAGGGTTCTCAGGGTTCTCAGGGTTCTCAGGGTTCTCAGGGTTCTCAGGGTTCTCAGGGTTCTCAGGGTTCAGGGTTTAGGGTTTGGGATTTAGGGGTTGCTTCGGTTTCTTTACTTAGTAGCTCTCGAAGATTTAAGCCTATACAGAGTTTTATGTAATGCAGAGCGGTTAGGGTTTCCGGCCAAGATATTCGTTCAGGCTATACAGCGCTTATAGCTTACCTAACCAGAAGCCCTAAACCCTGAACCTTAGGGGTTTGACCCTAAAGCCCAAAGCCTAGACCCTCAGAAACCCTGCACTCTCATCTCTGGAAGCCCTGCACTCTCATCCCAAGAAGCCCTAATTTCACCCCAAGCCCAGTCTAAGCCCTAAAACCCGATTCCCTCAGCTACGGACGCTGTGGGGACTTGGGGGCCGGGTTTGCAATGTCTCACGTGGGTCCTCAAAAGCGGATCTTCCTCGAGGCTGTATGAGATCAGGGTTTAGGGTTCAGGGTTGAGGATTTAGGGTTTAGGGTTTAGGGTTAGGGTTCAGGGTTGAGGATTTAGGGCTTCGGGTTTAGGGTTTAAGGGGGTGTTCGTGTTTCGGATTTAGGGTTTGGGGCTTAGGGCTTCAAACCGTAGGTGGAGGAGTCAGGCCATCGGGCGGAGCAAGGCTTTCTTGTTTTTGAAGAAGGGGTGCCTTAGTGGGTTTAGGGGTTTAGGGGTTAGGGTTTAGGGGTTAGGGTTTAGGGTCAGGGTTTAGGGTTTAGGGTTTAGGGTTTGGGGCTTAGGGTTTAGGGAGTTCAGCTCAAGAAGCCCAGAACCTGCCTGTCCTTCGGCGGCCACGACTTGGTAGGGGTCTAGGGGTTCGTGCGTCTAAGGTGGTGTCTTTGGGGAGTTAGGGATGGGGCGGCTGGGGTTATGGTGTCAAGGTTTAGGCACCGGTGCAGGAAAGGGTTTGGTTTTAGGGTCCCGGAAATCCTTAGAATCCCCAAGCCACTGAAAGCCAAACCCTGCCCCTCAACCCTACATGTTCCGCATGCGACGGAGGCTTCGGCATTCCAGTGTTGCCGGGCTACAAGGCTGTGTGATGTCGTTGTCAGCCCCAAACCTCCCACCCCCTCGACCCCTTCAACCCTAAACCCTAAACCTTTTAGAGGTGGGATAGAGTGGGGGTGGTCGGGGCGGTAGGGGTGGTTTGGGAGCGGGTGGAGGTTCCTAGTAGCCCAGGCCCGAACCTGATCGACCTAGTACAAAATACCTGTTCAGGTAGTAAAAATCCGCACGTTCAAAAATGGTCACCACGCAGTTTAGGGGGTGAACACACGGTCTCTTTAATTAGGCAAGGGATGTCATTTAGGTCCACCCCCCCTGCCTCCAAGACTCTAATTACACCCTAACTCCCTAAGTCCTAAGCCCAACAGCTCTTCCCCCTAAATCCCTAAGTTCCACGCCCAACCTCTTCCCCTTTGATGATCAGTTATCCCTAAAGCCCCATGTACCTTTGTAGCATATACTTGCACCTTGGAGGGTTCCCACATAGAAGCTTTCGGGCCCAGGTATCTAAAAAACATGCATGGACCCTAAACCCGAAACCCTGAACCCTCCACCCTCAACCCTCCACCCTCAACCATCAACCCTCAACCCTCAACCCTCAACCCTCAACCCTCAACCCTCAACCCTCAACCCTCAACCCTCAACCCTCAACCCTCAACCCTCAACCCTAAACCCTAAACCCTAAACCCTAAACCCTAAACCCTAAACCCTAAACCCTAAACCCTAAACCCGAACCCTAAAACTCCAATAAGGGTTATTAAAGGGCCTGGGAGGCCACCGTGGGCGCTGCGTGGCTCGAGCGCGGCGGGCAGTACGTGGAGGTGGAGTGCTCAGGGCCCCCTTAGGGCCTTAGGGTTTGGGGTTTGGGGTTTAGGGTTTAGGGTTTGGGGTGTTCCAAAGTGCCGCGGTCCCGACCCGCGCCAGGGAGTGGTGGCGGGTCGGGCCGCCTCGGTGCAGCGGATCCCACCCCAACCACCCAAACTACCGCCTTTTTGGGGTTTAGAGCGGTCTACCCCCCACCCCCCTATCAAGGGGGCTTTCACCTCCACTGTCCCCGATGGCCGGGATGGGACGTACTGCTGCTGTTGCTTGAGCCTACACCCTCAAGGCCATAGCTAAGCCAGGGCAAGCCCCGTGTCGGTTTTTCCAACCCGAGCCATGTTGGTCGCAGGACTCCGGAATAAGTACTTTGGCAGGGAGCTTGTGGTTCCTTCATAGAGAAGGACGACGAAGCCTTGCAAGAGCGCAAGGAGGACCAGGTTCACTGAGAAGGTGCACAAGTAGGCGACATGGTGCCCGGGTTGGTGGCGGGGGCAACCCTGAAGGGGGAGGGGGCGGGGGAAACCCTGGCAGGGACAACCCTCACAAGGGCAACCCTGGCAAAGCAACCCTGGCGGGGCAGACCTGGTGGGCAACGCGGGGGCAAACCTGTCAAATTAGCGAGGGCAACCCTGCGGAGAGCGATGCTGAAAAGTTGGAAAGGAATTTGGGCGCAACTGGTAGGGCAACCACCCTGGCGGGGGGCAACCCTGGTGAGGGCAGCCCTGGGGGGGCAACCCTGACGGGGGCAACCCTGGCGGGGGCAACCCTGGCGGGGGCAACCCTGGCGGGGGCAAATGTGGTGGGGGCAACCCTGGCGAGGGCGCTGGCGGGGGCCACCCTGGCAAGGGCCACCCTGGCGGGGGCCACCCTCACGGGGGCAACCCTGGCAGGGGGCCCCTATCAAGGCTCAACTCTCCCCCATGGCCGGGATGGGACGCACAGTTGCAAGAGCCTACACTGTTCTGGATCAAAACTACTGTGTTGAAGACACCCTCAAGGCCATAGCTAAAGCCAGGGCAAGCCCCGGCAACCCTGGCAGGCGCAACCCTGGCGGGGGGCAACCCTAGCGAGGGCAACATTGCCGGATCTGGCAGAATAATAGAGTACTTTGGCAGTGAGCTTGTGGTTCCTTCGAGAAGGAGGACGAAGCCTCGCAAGCGTGTGAGGAGGACCAGGTGGTCTGGGAGGGCCGTCGCAGAGAAGGTCTGTTTAGAGCAATCTTGCAAATGAGACCCTGGCGGGGGCAACCCTGAGAGGGGACAACCCTCACAAGGGCAACCCTGGTGGGGGCAACCCTGCCGACCAAATGTGAGCAACCCTGGCGGGGGCAACACTGTCACCCTGGCGAGGGCAACTTTGTGGAGAGCGACCCTGGAAAGGCGGGGGCAACCCTGGCGGGGCAACCCTGGCGGGGGCAACCCTGGCGGGGGCAACCCTGGCGGGGAGCAACCTGGAGGGGGCAACCCTGGCGGGGGCAACCCTGCTGGGGGCAACCCTGGCGGAAGCAACCCTGACCAACCCTCGCGGAAGCAACCCTGGCAGGCCCGGAACAACCCTGACGGGGGCAACCCTGGCGGAAACAACCTGGCGGAGCCTGGCACGGGGGCGGGGGCACCCCCAACCCTGGCGGGGGCAACCCTGGTGGGGGCAACCTGCAGGGGACCCGGTGGGGGCAACATTACTGGGGGGAGCTCTAGGTGGCAACCCCGGCGGGGGCAACCCTGGGAAGGGCAACCCTGCCTCCGGCAACCTGGCGCGGGCAACCCTGGTGGGGGCAACCCTGGTGGGGGGCAATTTTGGCGGGGGCAACCCTGGCGGGGGCAACTCTGGCGGGGGCAACCCTGGCCTCCCCCACCGGGGTGGCGCGTCGGGGGTTTAGGGTTAATCCATTATTACATTGTGCCCTATGGCTAGCAGGGATGCATCAGGTGTGGCAAACTCGATCTGCTTGGCAAAGCAAGCAGATCTCGAAGCGGTAGCGTTCAGTTGTACCGGCCGCCGCCTGGCGCGGGCGGCCTATGGTTTAGGGTTTAGGGTTTCGGGTTTAGGGTTTAGGGTTTGGGGTTTAGGGTTTAGGGTGACTTCCTTTTCGGGGGGACTTCCTCATACTCGTATCATGATGAGAAGACGAGCATATAAGAGGTAGGAATGCCACCCCCCCCCCCCCAAAAAAAAAAAAAAAAGGAGCGGCAATTCGAAGTAGGTAGGGCTTCGGGTTGACCTATTCAACGGGCCTTTCCGAGAGCTGGCTTTGGGAAGCTGGTGAGCTCTAGAAGCCCTAAACCGCTGCACCCTGGACTCTAAACCTTCATTAGGGTTTTTGTTTATAAGGTTGAGGGTTTAGGGTTTAGGGCTTAGGGCTGAGGGTTTAGGGTTTAGGGCTTCGACGAAATCGATAGAGCATCAAGAGAGACATCAAGGCGGACGACCCTACACACCAGCGTCGCCCATCCTAAGCCCCAACTTCCTGAGCCCCAAAAGCCTAAATTCCCAATTCTTGGCCCAGGGGTGGAAACCGATAAACCCCATACAAATCCTGAAATCCCCTGTAACTGCATGGCCCGAGAACTAAGAACCCCAAGCTTATGAGCCCTAAACCTGAAACCCTAAGACCAAACTAAGCCCCTTCGCGCAGGCGCACATCCGCGGCGGCGGTGAGTTCGGCCCAGCCTGGGAGGCTTTGGGGCGGGTTTAGGGTTTAGGGTTTATAAGGGTTTAGAGTTTAGGGTTTAGGGTTTAGGGTTTAGGGTTTAGGGTTTAGGGTTTAGGGACGAAGAGTTGTAGAAGCCTTGTCTGTTTAAACCTGCAATATCCTGCCTAAAGCGCTCTCAGTTATAAGACAACTTCAAGCCTCTTCGGAGGCCTAAGCCCGGAACCTTAAAATTGAGCTGTGACCTTGTGACCCTAGACCCTGCAAGCCTTAAACCCCACAGACTGGAGCCCTACAAACCCTAACATTGAGCCCTAACCCGAAACCCTATCAGCCTAAAACCCTACTCAAATGAGCCCTACAAACCCGAAAATTGAGCCCTTACCCGAAAACTTATAAGCCTTAAACCCTATGCAGTGTTGAGCCCTATGTAAACCCTAAACTCACCATTCTCCCAATGGCAGGCTGCGGGACGTGGGGCTGCCGGTCGACTGAGGGCGTATGAGGACTGCGCGGATGCTGTTGGGCTAGCCCTAAACCCTAAACCCTAAACCCTAAATCCTAAGCTCTAAACCCTAAACCCTAAATCCTAAGCTCTAAACCCCCTAAGTAGGGTAATATAGGGTTTAGGGGCCTCGACAGCCTCGACCCCTACATAACTCGTGGTTCCTGTAGTGAAGGTGCCTTGTAATTCTTGTGGTTCGTGGAAAAGATCGCGAAAGATACCGGTCCTCCAGCCAACCTACTCTTAGGGTTTAGGCTTTAGGGTTTAGGGTTTAGGGTTTAGGGTTTAGAATCAACGAGGATTGTTGAGGCGCATTCGGGTTCCTACGGGGGCCTTCGATGTTTGCAGAAGGGATTTTGGGTTGAAGGCCCTTTGTGCATGGTTGCGGACCTTCGCACGAAGTCTCCCGACCTTGGGGTGTAGAATGGCTTTCGTGGTTTGAGCCTTAGAGGGTTTAGGGTTTAGGGTTCTTACAGGGTGCTGCGGCTCAGCTGATCGCAGGACCTGGAAGCCATAGCCGACCACTTGATTGCGAAAGGCATCGCAGAGCCAGGCCATCTGCCCTGCAGCTTGCAGGATTAAGGGTTTAGGGTTTACGGTGTAGGGTTTAGGGTTCAGGGTTTAGGGTAGGGAGTCTGGTTGCACCATGGGCTCTCGATGCATTGTGGGGGTGCCCGCCGAGTGTTCATGTAAACAGGATCCGAGCACTTGACGTGCAGCCTTGCACGGAAGAGTGCCACAGCAGAAGCATTCAAAGTGGCCACAGCCCATGCAGCCCATTGAGCCTTCAACCCCTGCCCACCCTGCACGAGTCAACGCGCAGGGCGCTTGGGCCTCTTTGGGCGGTCGAACGGCGGCTTGCTGGTGGCCAACCAAGTCGTCCGGGACAGGTTTAGTTCGATTTAGGGCTTTGGGGTCTTCTATTTCGCGCCGCTATCTCTGTTCCCTGACCGTCTTCCTTGTTTCCAACGCCCCTCCCCCCTCTCTCCCATAAGCCGCTAAGCCTACACGTGGAGTTTTGGGGGTTTAGAGTTCAGGGTTTGGGGGTTTCGGGCTTAGGAAAGCACATCCCGCGGCCCGCGAATCCTGAACCACAAAAGCCGCAGCAGGAGATGGCAAGTGATGCGCCACGGCGCTTCGCAGCCATGGTTGGCGAGGCCGCGCCACGCATGGTCCACCCAAGGAGTGGGTTGGGAGAAGGGCTTCGCCCCCTGCAATTTTAGGGTTTAGGGTTCAGGGTTTAGGGTTTAGGGTTTAGGGTTTAGGGCATCCAAGTTGATAACCTGCAAAGCAAAAGCATCGACAAGACGAGGCTCGAGAGATGTGGCTGGTTTAGGGCAAGCCTGCAAAAGCCGACCCCCCCCCCCCCCCCCCCAAGGCCCAGCAACAGGCAGCAACGATAGGAATTTTTGCATTTGGGATCAGGGTTGAGGGCGTTGGATTTAAGATCTGCGGCATTTTTTGTGAGAAGTACTACCTTGGTTGCCGTGCCAAGACGATTCAATTTGGGGGTTCGAGTCAGACGGTTTTCAGGATGGATTTGGGCTTTTGGGGCGTAGGAGTTTGCCAGTTCCAGTGTTCAGCTTGTCGTGTGTGCCCTAAACCCTGGACCTTAAACCCTAAACCGCCTAAACCCTAGCCCTAAACCCTAAACGCCCTCAATTGTATCCAGCCGTAAAGGTGCCTTTGACCGATATGCTCCGCTACCACACCCTTCTGGCCGGAGCTAGCCACTTGGTGGTTGGCCTATATCTCCAGGCAATTGGGGCTTAGGACTTAGAATCTTCAGCATCGTGGATGTTTCTTGTTGCTTTTGGTGAGTGCAACAAGGGTGAACTCTACATATTCTCTTTTGGGGAAGAAAAAGGATCCCGCTTCAAGCTGCGCCCTGCAGGGGGGGGGGGGGGGGGGGATGCTTGTCTTCCCAAAGCCCAAGCCTACGAACGGCCAAACTCCCTCAACCCTACACCCTCAATCCAAAACCGAATTAATCCTATCAACCCTAAACCCAAACGTCAAAAAACCCATTCCTGAAAACCATGAATCCGGAAGCGCGTGTTTCATCTGAGCCCCGGGCTAGATTTTCCTTACGAAGCATATTTGGGCCCGCCGCCCCTCTCCACCGCCCCGCGTGTTGTGGGCCCCGCAGCCCTACGCTTCCCGCAAACCAAATTTCACAGGTTAGGGTTTAGGGTTTATGGTTTAGGGTTTAGGGTTTAGGGTACTTCTACCACGATTCCCGCAAGCCAAATTTCACTTGTTCTTGATTCCCGATTTGAAGAACAGCACCCCTCTGGGAACGGCAGCTCCCCAGGTTGGCTGGAAGAGTACGGGGACCCTGCAGATGATGCTTTGTACCCGCAGCTGAGGCCGTGCAGGGAAGATCTTTTCGGGGAAAGACCTCAAACTCCTGGGACTTTCGAGTGAGCGGGTTTTTGGCTGGGTAATGATGTGGGCGTTCACATGACCGAGTCGTTGTCGGCAGATTGAATGGCCCACAGCCACGTAACCCTTAGGTTGTGTGTGTGTGTGTGTCTGTCCGTCTGGCTGGCTGTCCGTCTGTCTATCTGTCTGTCTATTTGGCTCTGTGTGTGTGTGTGGCTAAACTCTAAGCCCGAAACCCTAAATCCTGGCTCAGGCAAATCTCCGCCTACCACCTGGCACAGGAGTAAGGGGTCGCCCAATAAGCCAAGATCCTGCATGACATGATCAGCAGCGCTAAGCCCTGTCGAAGCCCTAAACTCAAAACCACCCTAAGCCCGAAACCCTAAACCCTACACCCTGCACCCTGAACCCTAGCCCCTGAACCCTAGCCCCTAAGCCCTCACATCAGGTGCTTAGAGACTGCTTGTAGAAGCGCAAAACCCACTTGTTTGTAGGCTCTTCTGTATAAATCCCCTTACAGGGGCCTCCGGAACCCTACAAAAAAGCAGGCTTTGGGTTCGTAAGGTACTTGAAGAACCCAATGCCGTGCCTACTAAAGCACGTTCTTGCTGAATTATCCCGATAACTCTCCTACAAAGGAACCTTATGTGCTTCTTGGAGGTTCAGGGTGCTTATAACCCCCAATTTTAACTGTACTGATAAGCCCCCTAAGTCCCCTAAGTAGGTGGTAAGTAGATTTATAATCGTTGTTATAAGTACCCATGAACCTCCAAGTGTGGGTCATGACATTACAACTACGCGAAGAAGGTTAGGGCTCTGAAGGTAAGGACCTTGGGATGTTCTTTTATTGGAATTGCAGAGGAGCCAGCGCCCTAAACCCTAAACCCTAAACCCCAAGCCCTAAACCCTAAACCCTAAACCCCCAAAAAACCCAAACACCCTACAGAGGACCTTCTGCGGGAGCAGAGAGCCCGGCGGATGCCGAAGGCTGCCTTATGGACCTGTTTCAAGCATGTACATAATTGGGGTTTAGGGTTTAGGGTTTAGGAGTAGGCCATCATTTTTATTGGCTTAGGTTCTCTTATAAACTCCTTTAAATCAGAAAGGGCACCTTTTTTTTCAGGTTACTCTGGGGTCTTATTTAGCACGGCCCCGGTCCAAGTATCCTCGTAAACCAGAATCTCATATGAAGCAGGGTTTTGACTCCTGTTATGTGAAAATATTTCGAAAGATTGGTGAGTGTACCGTAAATGGTGTCCTTTGGGGGATACCGGCAATAAGAACCAAATTCCATGTGAAACTGAGGGCCCTTGGAAGCCCTACATCTTCGGGCTTTTGCATCCCTTAGAAGGGATACACGGCACCGCACCTAATTAGCTACCAAATTCCCTACTAACCCTAAACCCTAAACCCTAGATCTCGGAAGTTCTTGGCAGGCTTTCTAAACGCCTCGCAGAGGTGCTCTTCACCACGTCCACCCGGGATGACCGCGTGCATCCGCACCTGAGCCTGCGAAGTTTAGGGCTGAGGAGTTGCGGGGTTATCGGGTTTAGGGTTTGGGGTTTGGGGTTTAGGGTTTTGGGACGAAACACGGTCTATTGGTTGAGAAGCTCAGGTTGTGGAAAGGGGCTAATAGGGTTTCAGGAGACGAATGTAGCCGGAAGGCTGCGGGGAATTTCCGGGCCCGAACACCTTTTTTTTTTTTCTCGGAAAACACTAGATGTCCAAACCCTCAACCTTCAAGCCGGCTATTCGCTTAAGAGCCCCACCAAAAAAACACAACACTACTCTTCCTATAAAGGTAATAGAGGGATCATTATATCTTTATTTGGGGGGGTGGACTCTTACTATACGGGTAATACAGGGATCATTAATGTTTTTTTTGTTTGGGTGGGGGGGGGGGGGGGGGGTTCGTTAAATAGCTTACTGTTGGTTAGCAGAGAATGACTATATGCATGTACGTATATGTATATGTATATATATATATGTATGTGTATATATATATATGTATCCTATAAGGGATTATACAGGGTACTAACCAACAATAAGATGGTAGAAACCCGGGTCGTCCTGTGGCTTCCGACTTCTGCAACGAGCCCGAAGCCTCACCTAAAGAATCGAGTTCGGGTGTATGGTTTAGGTTTAGGGATTAGGTTTTAGGGTTTAGGCCTTTTGTGCAGCTTTCTATTGTTATATACATTCCTTGTAGGATCCTTGGCTAGCACAAGAAGATGGAGTTTGACATTGTTTCTCATGCCAAAGCTCTCCTGCACCCCCCGCCCACCCCACCCCCAAGCGCAAATAAGATGTGAAAAACATCTTAGCGCCTGGTCTATAGCAATGTGGGCCGATGAGTCGAAAGGCTACTGCAATGTGAGCTTACCGTGCACATTAACCCCAACATCAAGTGAGCTTCAAGGGCAATTATGGTCGTGGGGGGATAATAGGTTGCAGGGTCTAGGGCCTGGATTGCGGGTTTTCCTTAACAACCCAAAGCCCTTTTTCTTTCCCATCTGTGATTCTTAGGAGCCGTACAAAAACGTAGTAGGCATTTCCCAAATAGGGGTACCCATTGTCTACCCCACATAGACTCGAATCCCCTTAAAGGGACACCCCAAAAAGGGTACCCCCCCCCTCCCCCCCATTGTCGGAAACCACCAAGTAGCTTTTGGGGTTTCTTAAGGAAGGGCTTCCAAGGTGCCACGCGCGAAAGATGGCCGAGCTCCTGCAGTCCGCGCCAGACGGCAGCAACGTCTTCCTCTTCGCTTCCTGGCTCGGCACAGCCCCCCTCACAACCGGCCACCCCATCGTTCTAGGATGCCCAGTAGTAGCCCTAAACCCTAAACCCTAAACCCTAAACCCTAAACCCTAAACCCTAAACCCTAAACCCTAAACCCTAAACCCTATAAACCCTAAACCCTAAACCCCTCCGAAGCAAAGAAACAAAAGCAGGCTTTTCATTCTGCGGCTTTCGGGTGCAACCTTGGGCTGCGAGCCCTAAACGTTACCTAGACACTGGCAGTTCTAGGTTCCTCTGGGGCACTTGAGATTCTTTATGTTTGGTGTTGGGTTTAGGGTTTAGGGTTTAGGGTTTAGGGTTTAGAGTTTAGAGTTATGGGGTTTAGGCTTGGTACCCCAAAACACACACTGCTACAATTTGGGGGCGGGCCGGTCAGAGGGTACCGTTTTGGGGTCAAATGGGCTTAGTAGTCTTTGGGGCCATGTAGTTAACTCAGCACTCATTGAACCAGAGTTTAGGGTTTAGGGTTTAGGGCCGGGACAGGCATTCCCCGAAAAAATACTCCGACATGCCCTAAAGCCTAAACCTTAAACCCTAAACCCTAAACGGTTAAGAAACCCTTAACCGTTTCGACTGGCCAGGAGGGGGACGAGGGTGGTCACGGCGGCGCGGCCATATTCGAGCGCGCCTTCGTCCGGACGTTGGAGTGCCTGTGCATGCAAGTAGTTTGGTTGTGTTTAGGGTTCAGGGCTCAGGGTTTAGGGTTTAAGGTTCATTTTGAGTCTAGCGATTATAGTGGCATATAGCTATACATTGAGGGTTTAGAGGCTTCAAGGCTCTCACCAGTACACACACACCAGATGATTGCTGGCGCGAAACCCTAAACCCTAAACCCTAAACCCTAAACCCTAAACCCTAAACCCTAAACCCTAAACCCTAAACCCTCAGAGGGGGTTGAACAGGAACGCATGGGCCGCACGAAGGAAGCCTTCATGCACCTTATGCACTTGTGATCAAGAAGAGACCTGCACAACCCATCTGTAGGCCCATGAGCATGTCACCCTAAGCCCTAAACCCTAAACCCTAAACCCTAAACTGCCCTGAGGTACGAGTTTCTTTGGTCCCAGCTCTCGCGGCGCTGAGTGCCTCAGTGCGCGGGGGGGCTCGGGTGGCCTTACAAGTTCTAGGGCTCGGGAAATTTGATATATCCCCCCGGTAATTATTTAGGGTTTAGAGTTAAGGTTTAGGGTTTAGGGATTTCCCTTTCAAGGGGTTGTAGAATACAGCCCCTATAACTCCCTAATTACTAAGTAGCCCAGAGCCAAAACCGGGCTTGGGGCTTGACTGGCAAATGAGAAAAGCCAACGATTGCAAGAATTTTAGCAGACCGGCTCGCGTAAACACTGAGTCTAGATCTTGGGCAAACTACGCCAGATTCGGACTTCATAAACCCTATGCCTTGGTCATAGTTGGGTAACATTTCACATTTTTTAAGGGTACTTCAACCCAACAAGGAAAAAACAATAAAATTTTAAATATTATCCCTACCATGAACTAGATACCCTCCCCAGCACCTCGCTGCCGAGAGTCGAAATTGTCAGGCGTGGCTATTGGCCACCACCTGGGAGGCCTGTCATCTCGCCTTGTCCCACTTCAAGGACACCGTTTTGCACTACATCTGTGTAGTAGGGCAGGGGACAGAGTGTTTTGTGACTACAGTTCAGGGGCGATCTGCGCGAAGGAACTCGTAGCCAAAGCCCATGAGCCATCTCTACACGCCGCAGGTGCAACTCAGAGACGGGAGTCACCGACCCGTCTTTGTTTTAAGCTTAGCCATAGCTGCTGGGCCATGTCTCCCCTCCAAGCGTGGCTGGCTTGCAGCTCGCGTGCGGAGGAGGCCGTGGCAAATGCACTTGGCAAAGCGGCGAAGTCATGTGCTGTCCACCCTTGGAAGTGTATCACACTGACTCTTAGGGCTACTTGGGAATGTGTTTTTAAGTTTTGGGTAGTTCCTAAGAAACAGCAAATATGATAGATTTTGCTAGGTTTCCAACTGTCAGCCCTAAACCCTAAACCCTAAACCCTAAACCCTAAACCCTAAACCCAGTACATAGGACTGTGGTGGGCTGCCTGCTTTGTGGCCTGGGCGCATTGCGCTTCAAGGCAGTGAGTGCGGCTCGAGAACTCTGGGTCGACCAAGAGTCCCAGGTAGCTAGGCCCAAGGGTTTAGGGTTTAGGGTTTAGGGTTTAGGGTTTAGGGTTTAGGGTTTAGGGTTTAGGGTTTAGGGTTTAGGGTTTAGGGTTTAGGGTTTAGGGTTTAGGTATTTCCCCTTATTGGGGTTTAAGAGGATCCTATTCCGGAAGATTTTTCAGAGGGTTTCAAGGGCCATCCCAGGTAATGAAGGACCTGGTGTGGACTGAGCAGTACTTTACCTTCTCGGGCCGGCTGGACCGTGTCCTCGTCACTGCAAAGGATGGTGGCAACGTCCTGCGCATGGAGACGATGGCCGAGGTCTTCCGCCTGGCTGATGATGTAAACGCACTCACGAGTACGGATGGCAAAAATTTTACCGAGCTCTGTCTGCGGATCCCATCCGGCTGTTTGAATGAGGGCGTCCGCCGGTACTTTGGAACCGGAACGTCTGCCGATTTCAACCAGACAGTCCAGACGCAAGCCGACATCCTACTGGCCGTGACTTACCTTTAAGGTGAGCAGGGAATGAGGCAATGATGTACCCCATATACTCCCTTAAAAGGTATATTATATATATAATATATAGGGGGATAGAGTACCTCATCGCCTCATTCTCTACTATAACCAACAGTAAGGTGAACCAGCCCAACTTCCCAGATGGTGGCCCAGCCTTCGCCGATGACTCCATGGGGGGCATTGTGCGCGATGGCAGCGGGAGCATCACAAGTGCCACAGCAGTCCGCATCGACTTCATTGTGGATAGCAGCCTTGAGGCCATGCTTGCCTGGGAGGAGGCTTTGATAGGGCATTTCACCAAAGACAAGCTCACGGAGCAAGGCTACCAGTATGTGAATGCCTTCGTGCAGGCTGAGCGCTCCCTTGACGACGAGCTCAACAGGACAGTGCAGGCCGACATCCCCCTCTTCGCCGTCGCCTTTGTGCTGATGGCCTCCTTCTGTGCGATCTTCCTGGGCAAGGCTGGATCGTGGACACAGAGCAGAAGGCTACTTGGGACAGTCGAGTTCTACCTGGTTCTCCTCGGATGCATCGCGGGCTATGGCACCTGCATGCTCATCGGGGTGCCATTTACCGTCCTCCAGCAGATCCTCCCCTTCATATTGGTGGGCATTGGCATCGACGATGCGTTTGTCATCGCTTCGGCCTTTGATGCACTGGACCCTTCCATCAGCATCCCCGAGCGCATGGAGAAGGCCATGCAGCGTGTCGGAGTCTCCATCACCTTGACCAAGGTGACCTCCATCTCTTCTTTCCTGCTGGGGGCCACCTGCGTCTTCCCGTCGGTCCAGTGGTTCTGCGCATACGCATCCTGCTCATGCTTCTTCATCTGGCTCCTGCACTGCACCACCTTTTGCGCCCTGCTGGCTCTAGATGCAAGGCGTGCGGGCGCCGACCCCCCTCGCCTGGACCCCTGCTTCTGTGTTGGGGCCGGCGCCTCCTGCATGCCCAGCACGAAGAGCTCCGGGGCGTCACCCCTCGAAACGGTCCTGGTGGCAATGATCCGCTTCCTGACCAGCCACCTGGCCATCTCACTCGTGACCATCCTGTTCTTTCTGGTGGTCGCTGGTGTGTCGGCCTGGCAGGTTAGCCTCGGCCTCAGTACCGACTTTGACATCATGGACCTGTCACCTGACAAGAGCTACCTGAGAGACTTCTACAACCAGGAGAATACACACTTCGGTGGCCTGTCGACAGGGGGCTTGGCCTTGCCCACCGCCTTCTTCGCGAAGGACCAGGACTTCCGATCTCTGGAGGTGCAGCGGCATCTGGAGGAAGCCGGAGCAGGGATGATCGCCCTGAGCAATGTGAACCCCGCTCGTGGGCTGCAGTCATGGCATACGATGTTTACACTTTGGGC